CATGCGACGAATATCATCACAGCAAGGAGAGTATCGTCGTCACAAGAAAATTCGAGCTAAGAAGTCAAGAAAACTCACCGGCAAATCCTCAAAAAGTGGTACAGATACTCTACATCTGGCCTCTTTGATCAAGTATAAAGTGATTTGATTAGTTACGGTCGTATGTCAACTTTGATGCATGTGGGTGTGTCTATCTCTGTATGTGTATGTGCCTGTTTGTGTTTGCTTATGCACGAAACCCGCAGTGAACGCTCAAAGTGATTAGGACAGCAAAAAGGAACGTCTGTTTTTGGCCATCACGTTTTGATGACCCAATTTGCCCCTTTCTACATACAAGTTATGGCCATCTCTCCAATTGTTGTGGCGATAATATTATAGTCTGATGATGTTCGTCACCTGACGTACGAAAGCTTAGCACCTTTTCACCGGAATCGAAGGAGATTGCCTCGGAAACTGCGTCAGCATGAATCTTCCAGTAAAGCCAATCGAGAGCTGGTGGAAACAGCAATTATCACCTCTAGTCTGGTACATTGGTCCACACTTTAACTTAACCTCTGATGGAGAAAGTGTCCAACTATTTCGCCCCGACAATACAAATAAGTTGCAAATACGAGGTCACACTACTTCTGTACATCGAAAGGAGACTGCTACCAAAATAGTTATAGGCATCACTGAAACTAATTGCTGGGTCTCCTTTCTTTTGTCACTGGCTCGACACCCTCTATATACTCGATTCTATTTGGCAAGTATATGCACTTCTTTCCCAACTCTCCAGCCTGCATGCTTTCAAACTTAGAAGAATAGAAATTGACATAAGAAGGATTAAAGCAAATTAATTGTTTTTAATCTAAATATATATATTAAATTTTATGTGTATTTAAGTTGTCACAGGCATATTAAGCGACGCGTATTATTTTGGGTATAATTTTGGCACGAAATCCTCTTTAGAATGAAATCCAACTCTTGCGATAGCAGACACCAGTCTTCCTCGGAATCAGGGAGAATGACCAAAGAACAATGCTAATCAGCCGGCATCTTCTGGTGTCATTAAACAACCCATCTTACACACTTTAACGCGAATGGAAAGTCACCGAAACAATGTGAACCGAGGCGATTGTTTGAAACAAAATTAAACTTTATGCGAAGGACAACCCTCAGTCCCTGATTGGTAGTAAGGGTCTCGTCAATTATCCCATTAGTCACCTTTAAGTTAGCCTCGCTACTTTCCCTAAAAAACTTTCTATTCGGCGACGTGTTTTATACTCATCAGAACGGACATGAACTTGACTCCCATGAAGAGCGTTTTTCAGGACCGAAATGAACAGGAACGCAAAAATATCATCATTGCCAGGCAGAAAAAAGATCTTTACCTCCAAAGGCTCAGATGGACTCTTGAAGGAGTTCAAGAATAATATCAGGTGGACGCATTTCAACAGCCATTTCAGTCCTCTTCACTGGAATCGAGGCATTCTCCTGCCAAGGATACTGTTCAACACAGGTCTCAACATGATATTTTTCTGTCCTATTCTTTTGTGTGCTTTAAATGTGCCTGCCAGAGATAAAATGCTTTTTGGTCGTGATTCACCACACATAATAAATAAAATGAAGGCGTAACTTGCCGATATCCAGGCGGGAAGGAAAATTCGAAATGAGGCCAGACTCCTCTTAACCTCGAACCAAATGGCTTTGGGCAGACTGTAAATGCAGACCATAAACTCGCTACCGAGGCAGCAACACCAAATTAAATGTGTTCCATAGGCTTCTGATCTTAAAATTAGTATAAAATTAGTATGTTTTGGTAGAAGTACCAATAGCTTGATACAATGGCCCCAAAACTGACTGCTACCTAATTACTAATTACATGTTTTTGTGCCCATTTTGATATGCATGCGCGTGAATGTTTCTATTTGTACATCCAGAAAAGAATGTATTTTCCGGCTTAACTGCCTCTCAGAATAGGACGTCCAATAAAATATCCGTTTCCAAATGAACCCGTCATCAGGCGGACAAGATATAAAAAGATAATTGGAGAAGGGAAAGTTGGAGAAGGGTGGCAAAGTAGGAGGCATAGGACAGTCTCTTGCATGACTTTATTGGTGTTCATGAAAAGAAAAGTTGGGTTTCGAGGAATCTCTTGTTTCATAATAGTTAAGCTTATTTCTATTTCGAGTGAAAGTGTTTGGGGTAAAGAGATTTGAAGGTCGGTTCCACAAGAAGACGATTGACGATTGGCTAACTTTGAGCCATCACTTCGGGTTTCGTGCATAAGCGAACACAAACATGCACATACAAATACATAGACAGACACACTCACATGCATCGAAGTTGACATATGACTTTATACTTGATCAAAGAGGCCAGATGTAGAGTATAGATACCACTTTTTAGGGATTTGGCGGTGGGTTTTCTTGACTCGTTAGCTTGAATTTGTTTGTGACGATGTTACCTCGCTCTAATGATGTCCGTCATATGACGGACGAAAACTTAGCACCTTTTCACCGTCCTGTGACCCCGATAATCCTGTACTAAACTTTCGTCTGTACTGCGACAGACGCCATCAGAGCATCAGTCCACACTTCACGAAATAGATCAAAAATATGCTAAGCCAAGAGAAAAGATGGTTGGCTGCAATTCTAGCCACATTTTTATTTTGGTC